GTTGATGCAGCCACTTAGAAAGCAGTCTGTCCACATGCTTAGGTTATTCCTAAAAACTGTCGCTAACTTAAAAAATAAAAGCACATAGGAGATTTCAAATTTGGACCTTCTCTACAGTGGGAATACTGACCAAATGGTATTGACGTGCTACTCCCGAAGAGCGCTGCAGTGTGGACACAGATGACATAACAGGAATTTGCTTAGGTTGTGGGGGAAAAAAACCCAACCAAACCCGAAAAAACCAACCCTCACCTGTAAAAAGGAGATGATGTTTTGGTGAGATAATTTTCACTGACATAACAGTATACCACAAGCATTGATGTGCTCACAAAGGCTCAAGATACTCCTTGTGTGGGACTACAGGGTTGGGATTTTTTTAAAAAATCAGTAAAGTTTATAAAAATATCCATACAGGCATAACTATCAGATTCCTTTGCTACAGAAAAGCGTTAGTTTTTTTTCTTTGAGCTTTTATATTTCCTTGTTTAGTAGTTTGGTGACTATATTTTTCTGTTTATGTCTTCATGGTTCCGTGGGTTCAAAGAAAGGTGGGGCCATCTATGGAAGAAAAATAAACTGAGGGCTGTTAAATACTAGACCACTATCTGATTTAAGTCCTTGTGTCACAAACTGGTAGAAACAATGACAACAGTCTGAGAAACCTTAACAATTTTTTTATCTTGGCTGGTTTTACTCTTCTTTGGCATTTCCTGGTGACCGCTGTCAGAGGCCTGCAGACCTTCCATCTGACCAGCAAAAACTATTCTAGTGCAGTTCCAGTAGGCTAACATCTGATAGAGGAACTAAGCCCCTTCTGGTTAGGTTCAGCAGCATCTCAACATTGGTTCCTGAGCACCGAAAACATGAGTTGTATGCCTCACCGCATCGTTAAGGTTCAGTGTTTCATAGGACATTTCAAAAAACATACACACAGAGCACAGAACCAGTTAACAATAGTAAACAGGAAAAAAACATTAAGCACTGAACTGTCTGATTTCCCTCTTGTACTCCAGATCTTGTATTCCTGATTTATATGGGGTTGCACACAGACATGGTTGCATTTTTCCGTTGACTGCGAATGATTTTAAGACAATTTATGCTCCCATTGTACATGTATAGTGACAGTTGACATAATCTGGGTCGATGCCTCAATTTGTTCAGAAAAAGGAGCTTATTTACTGCACTGAGTTAAATATATTTGCAGGTATGCTTTAATGAAAAACGATTGTGAGGAAAAAAAATAATTTAGCACCTTAGATAGTTTTTTGTGATTCTATTTTTAAGAATGAAATTCATTAAATACATTTAGCATATTTTTCATAACATAAGAATGTTATATTTTTTGTTTACAGTTTTTAAAATCTCAGCAAATTTCCTTTCTAAAAAAGGAAATAAAAGTCTCATTATTCCTACGCTGCTATGAAATATAAAGTTTTAAATACTAGCCTACACAGTGAGGATAGTTTTAATGTTACTTGGCTGAAGTCTTTTATTTAAAATCATTGCTCTCTAAAGCCAGATAATACACATTTTTTTTTTTTTTCAGAGGTAAGCAAATGCTAAATATTTAATTTCATGATGTAATTCGTGTAAAGGAATAAGTGCTTATAATTAACCATGTCATTGTAATAGTAAGTGTTGACAAAAATCTTTAAAGAAATAACTAGCAGTGGTTTTGAGACCATGTTTACAAACTACAGTATGCTGTAAGTAAACAGGATGAAAATATTTTTATTCAATCAAAACCGGTTTTAGTCCTAATTCAGTGTTTACTTTATTGGGCTAAAAGGATTAAATAAAATGAACAGACTTATCATGATTTGTACCTACAGGGAGGGCCACTGAAATGCATCCACCTAATCCCCTTATCGGTGTTGGGACAAATTACAAAATACCTCGTCTTGAGAAGGCTGTAGCGTATTTATAGCTTGTACTTTACTGGCTTGCACACAGATTCGTACATCAAAAATGAGTGTAAAAACTGGTTTGTAATGGAAGCAGATTGGCAGAGAGTCACGACAGTCGTCCCCTTTACAATGCACAGTGCTGCAATCTGTTGGCCGTGTTTGGAGGAGACACATCAGCACACCACAATAAAACCCTCTGATAGTGTCCCAGGAGTCAAGGTGTATGAACGAGGCATTTAGTTTCGTAGTGCTGAGAACAGGTCTCACAAGTGGAACGATACATGCCAGTCTTTTGTCGGGTTTAGAGGTGTCCTTGGTGGCTGGGCTATCCCGTCTGGAACCCGGCGGGACCACAGGCAGACGGCGGTTGTTTTTCATGGAGCTTTGATGATGGGAAGACACTTGTTTCCCTGCACTTCATTTTGAGCTCAGTCTTGCTCAGGGAAGTCTTAAGACTTTTGCATCAACTTCACAGAAGTGTTTTACAGGCCAGCCATGTATTCTTAAGTTTTAAGAGGTTTTATGTATTTTAGCATTAGCGTAGTTATGGAATTTCTGAAGATAATACACCTGCTAAATGTGGTGACTTGATTTTGATAGAGTAGATGCACTTGGAATGGTTTAACTCATGTCTTTTAATCATAAAACAAATATACCCATAATTCTTAATGAATACAATTAAATATAGGAAAATAAGCCTTTCAAAATTACCTTTGTATTTTGATGAAATTTTTTAAAGAAGTTGTATAGTCACAGTTTTGGAAATAATTTATGGTTTTTTTTTTCTGACATTCAAAATACTACATTTTCTCTGCACCTACATTCTTGTGATCGTACTTGCATTCTGTAATTGTAATTGCTGCAGTTTTCATATTCAGCTTGTTACTATTTAGTGCCGTATCTTCAAGAAACAAAAGGCACAAAACGAAACCTATCATGGATGATATGTCTAGGTGGCATTCTCAGAAAAAAATATACTTTTCTCTTTTGTGCTTGTTGTAGGTAACTTAAAAATAAAAGCAAATTTCAGACTACCATTTATCTCTGAACTCAATTTAGTTTGATCATTTGCTTATTTTTTCCCCACTGTTTTTTTTTAAACATCAATTCAAGCTAACAGACTTAGTTCCCAGAGGTGTGGATGACACTGATTTACTTTATTGCTGTTGATCAGAAAGAGACAGCTCATAGGAATTTAAGGTACAATCATAACATCTGTAAAAGAATAAAATGCAGATCACTCAATAGATGAGAAAATTCAGTGTAAAATCAAATAAATACTTCTTCCATGTCCTGAAGACTACTACAGGCAGAATTAAATGACAAAGTACCATCAGTGGGTGATATGCAGAATGGCTTTTCATCACTGATTTCCTGTTACAAATTGTTACGGGTAAGTAATGCTTAAGATTAAAAAAAAACCCCTCACATTCAAAGCAGATTACATATTTAATCGAAATCTTTATCTCCCAAAAGATGATATTTCATGCAAAATGAATCTTTCCATACAGAGGAGTTATGCAGAAAAAAAAATTAAAACTTTATTCAAGGTTACTAATAAAGAAAATAATTTCCCTTGGTTAATTTTTGTAAAAACTGAATGTCTTTAGTTTGATATTTTTGTCACAGCTTATAACACACTGAAAGATTTGGTTGTTTTCCGGTTTCTTTTCTTCCCTCTGCTCTTGTTCTCCTTTTCTCCTCTTTCTGTCCTCTTTTCTAATCTTCTTCACTTGTCTTCTTTTGGCAAAACTAGTCAAGTTTGACAATGCCAGAGAGCAGTTAAAGAAAAAACAGGCATACTTCATCTCTATAAAATAAAGAGGCAAGTGGCAGTGTAATAGGCAAGTTTGTTGTTTGGTCGATGTCATGAAAATAGAAATATGATCAAAAGTATCTGATACTGAAATACCTGTAAAGAGCTGAGTCTCATCTAATCCCGTAACCCTACAAAAATAGAAAGAACTGTATTTTAATTTGTGTTAAACCTTGCATGCCTTGCAAGCTGTAAGAATGTAAATGGAATGACTAATATACTCCAAAATAAAATTGAAATAGCGGTGGGAATCACTTTGCACTTCAATAAACCAAAACTGGCATCAGTCTTATTGTTGGCTGTGTTTGTATTAAACCTAGATCTGCCTAGATCTAGTCAGTACTATTTGTCTAACTGAAACCATATAAAATATTAAGCATTGCTTTTTTTTAAAAAAAGTAGTTCTGAAATACTGAAAACATGTTTTTATAGGAAATGATAGAGTTTATTTTTCCAAGTTTTTTCTTTTTTTTTGTTTGGGTTTTTTTAGGTTGTGTTGTTTGTTTTTTTTTTTTTTATGTAAGTGTCCACACAAATAGAAATAAAATAATTTCAGATAGTCAGTTGTTCTTGCGATTTTTGCAGCTGAAATCCCTGTAATAACCATACCAGCCACACCTGATTTCATAAACAGGGTTATGATTCTAGATGAATGTTAAGGAGTGGATCAGCTCCTTGAAAACAAACTCTGTTTTCTTTCAAGCATTCTAATGACAAAAACAAGAAAGAAAAGATCTGCTTTCTCAGCACAACTGACTCTCAGATTCTTTTCAGCATTTTCTGTGATGTCAGTGGGTCTTCAAGAAGTTGTTAATATATGTTATGTATTATAAAAAACCTGCTGATTGCTAAAGGAGCAAAATGACACATTCACCTTTGAATATGGTAGTTGATTCAGTTTATATTCTCTGCTTTAGCTAATTAAGCACCAAGGACCAGATCTTAGGTTGGATGATGTCTTATTCACTAACTACTTTATTAAAAAGTACAAGATTATTTGAGAATTGAGGCACTACTTATTCTTGCTGAGGATGAGTCTGGCCTGAAGGAAATTTATTTTAGCTCTAGCTCGACTATATTTAAATGTTAATCCTGCAAATTCAGGCCTCATTTTGTGAGACTAATTTAATCTGTGAAGAAGAAGGACTGGTGTTACATTAATTTGAAGCAGTTTTTCTTTTTGAAATGTGGAATATATAAGATGTTTTTATCTCCAAGCCATGATAAAAAAATCCTGTGGTTTTTGTTTTTGTGTTTTGTTTTTGTTTTTTTTTTAGCATAGAACAGTGTCTTAAGGACCTGCGATCAGAAGTAAATGAAATATGTCCTGACGAAATACTACAAAGCACAACTGACTGTCTTCAGTGGCTAAACAACTGTGGGTTTACTTCTGTCAGACCTTATTCTACACACCATGGAGAGCTGATGAAGTTCCTTAGGACCCTGGTAAAAATTGTTTACTAAAGATTTTAATGTTTGGGAAAGTTGGTTGTATGATGGGGGTGGAGTGTGTTGAGGTTAATTAGTTTTATCATTTCAGTCTTCACTATGGTGAGGATGGTTCAGAAATTTTACTGTAAGGCTTAGTACTATTTTTATGTCTGCAGTAGGGGGTTATGTTTCCTTTTGATCTTGCCTTAGATAGACAAACTTGGGAAAAAATCTTTTCACTGATACTACCACATGTTCAGCGCTGCTAGGACTGGTTTCTAAACACGTTGGTAAATCACATCTAAAGTTACTGTCTACACCAAGGCTGTTACTGCTTGTTCTTCGCTTGTATCAGTATGAATTTAGCTCCTCTAATGCAGGTTATCGTCCTTTATGCATTATTTAAGCACTAACTTCTGTGCGAGCTGAGACAGGCAGGATGCAGGAACAACCACAAAACCACGGATGAAATGCAAAGAGTAAATTTATTTTCATTACCTCATGACCTGGGGGATCTCCACAGCAGGACCTGGGCACAGGTGCGCAAGCAGAGATGCAGGCGCTGCAGAGCTCGGGCCTTGCTAGCCAGAAAGAGAAGAAAGAAAATATCTGGAACCTGCTGCTTTCACCTGTATATATCAGGGATTTTCACAGGCACAGTTTTCATGGGACAGGAATCTCAAGGATGTTCGATAAAGTGCCTCTGAGTCTCTTACTGTGTCATCTATGTTATCAAAATGCAGACATTCTACCTGTCAAGCACACAAAGCTAAACAACAATTAGTATGATATATGTGGGTTTTGACACCCCAGCTGCAAGTCACTTGAGCGTGTTTACAGTCCTCCTCGCCAATCTTCCGTTGTATTCCCACAACTTCCCATCTGCTTTTCCTAATTAGAAATGTGGGAGCTACATCCATTGTTCTAGTAAGTTGTACAGCTAGACGTAACCAGAAATCAAATTTCATTTCAATGAAAAATTCCATCATTTTAGAATTTTCATGCAAAATTTTTATTAAAAGTTAACCTTAGAATATATGTATGGAAATGGAAAATTGACTTGGCTAGGTAAGTGAAGGATGATACCTCAGTAAATAACAGCCTGCAAGATTATATATAAACTATGTGTACGTGTGTTTAAATGATGTATGTACGTGTGAATGTCAAACCAAATAAACCGTATCCAGTGGATTGTTCTTTGACACTTCCATGTCATGGTTTAGTGATAGGACATGATCATCTTTAGGCTGGGCTGTATGGGCAGAGGAAAACTGCTGTGGAGAAGTATTTTCTCCTTTGGGACAATCTCCTGGCTAGAGCTCAAGATTCATCAGATTGTGTCTTAGTTTTTAACTCTTAAGGTTGTTTCAGTCACCCTTGAATACGCTGGATATTAAACTGTGTCAAATGAGGAAGTAATCTCCAGGAACACCAGGTCTTTAATGTTCACGTGGTGAAGAAGTGATTTTGTGCCCTTCTAACACGGGTGATCGGTGTGAATGTTGCTGTTAATAGTCACCTCACGCAAGGGTGTCAGAGACTGCTACATGTCATATTTGATACAGAAAAATGAGAGAATCCCAGAAAATGCCGACGTCGAAGCCGTTATTCCTTAGTTCTGTTAGATCCTTACCTAACCCCCTCGGAAGAGGGCATGGCCATGAGGACTTACTTGCATCCATTCCCTGCTCTCTTCCTTCTCCAAGGTCTAGTCAAGCCATATACCTGAACACCAGGTGGCGGCATTTGTTTGGGAAACACCAGCATGTCCCCATCTCTGGAATACTTCGGGTGTATCTTACACAAAATGTGCTTCCGAGCTCTTCCCTTCCCAGGAGAGCGCTGACTGCACGGCGGCCTGGCTGTGGGACGTAGCGTCCCGTTGGGCCTTGGGAATGGTTTCTGTGTCAGGCTGATAAACAGACAGCAAAGTGTGAGAAGCCGTAACGTCGGTTCTGCACAGCTTATCAGGAAAACATCTGTGGAGCTCAGGAACTGGGGCATCGCAGTTTCCAGGCTCGTGGCTTCTCAGATAATCCAGCCCGTTGTGTAGATGGGACTAGAGATGAAAAGTGCGTGTGTGTTAGCATAGACAATCCATCTGCAACAAGTTGTACTCTCAATAGGTAACCTTTAGCTCCATAAACAGCTCTGCAGTAAACTATTTTCAATAATATTCAGCATTAACGTACTTATTACAGACTGACCTTGCTTAAATGTCTATCTCCATCCATTGAACTAATTACTCAGTTGACTTAATTTCTCACTTGCGAGCTTTTAATTAAATATCACACAATACATCTTTAATAACAGTAACCTTCCTCTGTTTCAGGACAATATATTCGTTGTTATCACTTACGATGCATGTTTATTTTGGTAGGGATTTTGTTTATTTTTTAAGCTGCTGGAACAACTAAAAAAATAGTGCAAAGTTCTGTATGTGCTTTGCCCGAGATGCTGTATTTAGGTTTATTGTTAGTGTAGAATTTGTGAATTCATGGAAATGCTGAGAGGTTCTTCATGAAGCCTGAAGATATTAATTATGTAAAATTTTGTCGTTCGATGTACTGTTTTGTCACTCTAAATATTTAAGATCTGAATATGTACATGAACGCATCTTCATTAAATTCTGTTCCTGCTAAACTGATGATGAAATCTTTTTTTAACAAAATCTTTATCGTATTGGTTTTGTTCATTGATATGATAGTAGGTAGCAGTCCAGTTGGTAGACCACAAATGTTTTCCTGTATATTACTGTCACTAACTTTCTGTGCTCATAAGAGAACTTTTCATGTTTCTCTAAAACCTTTGGATACTAATTTGGATCTTTTTCTCTTGAATAGGTTTGGCATGATCTTTTGAAGTATTTTTACAGATTAATTTTCAAATAGAGAAGCGTATGTCAATATAGGCAGTGTTCAAAGAGACTCGATGACACTGTGTTTTCAGAGCTTCAAAGTTCACTTCAGGGGCTCTTTTTCTGAGTAACACGAATTCTGAGATGGCATCTGCAAGCTACCTCTTTAATGCTTTAGTTTAAGTTGCAAAGGGCTTGAAACAATACTTAGATTCTTACTGGCTTTCATGAATAAAAATGTTTCTGCTTAACCTTAAAAAACATCAGCAGGGATTTGCTTGGAAGACAGTTTGGATTCATCATCCAAAGGCATCAGTTGCATTCACTGTTTTGACAGATTCTCTTGTTTTGCTCGTTTCAGAATATAATATTTAAGCATGATTCATAAAAAAAAAAATAATTAACCTTTAAACTCCAGAAGTCTACCTGTGGAGGCTCAGCTCTTTAACACAGTGGTTAGTGATCAGGGTTTCAGTTTACACACTAAGACACATTCTCTTTGGAGACACAAAACTTTTCAGATTATTTCAGTAGGTAATTAAAGATCAGCCTTATGTATATGCATATTGATATGTATGATCTAAGATTTTAACTAGTTATACATATTTCTATCACACGCACATGCTTTTATAGCGTGATATTTGACTGATAATTTCCTTTATTATTCTGTCATCCACATGTGATTCCTGCTTCTAAGTAAAAAAATTCATAGGAAGCATTCTGAAATAAAAATGTAAAATGGAAGGAGAATAGCTAGTCTGTTATTTTAAGACTTTCCTTTATGGGAGGCAATCATGCTCTCTCTCTTTTGTTCAGAATTAGCTACTGTGGTGCAAGTCTTTTATTTTTTGTTTTTCATCATGGAGCACTCCAGAGTAAAGGGCAATAGGAAGGTTTTTTTCTCCCATGAGAGTGCAACAGTTCTGAATCATCCAAAACAAAGAATAGAAGTTCTGATATTGAAAACTGTTGTGATTCGAAAGAATATGGAGGGGGGGAACCCTCACTGAAGTTTTCGTTCTAAAATTTGTCTTTTTTATATTTTTATATGTTATCTACTGATTAAAGCTTGCTACAGTAGGATAATTGAACATTTTGTGTTGGAAATTATTATATTTAAGAAATACCATACTCAAATTTGACTTATTTCTCTCTCTTTCAAAACAGAAAAAGAAATAAAGCCAGTAATTTCCCCAGGTACTTTAGGTTAAATAAATCAGTAGTTCTGAAGGTGGAAGGTTTCTTTACCAGCCTGGCTTTAAAGGTCTTGAGTGGAAAGAACTACCCTTAGTGTTTTGCCACAACACTTTGTCATAAAGAAGGGACAGGAGGTGGGGGAGCAAGTGAGAGGGCTTCTAGATCCTGATTCAGCTGCGGCTTGCCTGATTGGTTCCTGAAACGCAGAAAATCAAGAGTACCACCAATTTCAGTTTTCTTGTGACTGTGGTGGGGAAATCTGTAGTCGGTGCAGGTCAGGGATTGAGAGCAGGACTTTACAAATACAAAGTTGATGGGCTCGAACTGCAGCCAAAGCCAACCTGCAGTGGGGAAGATGTTGAGGATGTGGGAACTGGGTTTATAACAGACAAGTTGGGTTATTTTCTGAGAGAGGAAGGAGATTTTTGGCGTCCAGTGACCACGGGAGTTTGGACATGCCTTGTTTGTGCAAATGATTCATCTCACACATATTAAGGAATGCTGCAGAGTACTGTTTAAATTTGTGTCATTCTGGGCCAAGCAGAAAGCACTGAGCTGTGGCAAGAGGAGCTGCTACTTGCTGCATGGCCTCTTGAACCTGGAGCAGGTCTGAGGTCAGAGATCCTGTCCCTGGACCAGGAAGGAGCCCTTCAGGACCAGATGAATTAGGAGCAGCACATGCATCCGTGTGGTTTCACCTCCTTTATTAACTGGCTTCCTCCTCCTTCTCCAACCCTTGTAGCTGAGATGTGTTTAGAGGCTGCTGTGTCGTTAGTGTATCTGCCTGCTTCTGGGTTTGACAGGATACACAGCTGCTGCTTCTTCTGCCCAGTGTGATCTAAGCCTCTTCAGATCTTAGGAAGTTCTTTAAGGGGTCCTGGGAAGATTGTTTTATCCTTACAGTGGCCTCTTTATGGTTGTCTGTGGAGCCAGAACATAGGAAGCAACAGTGTTTCATTTCATAAATTCCTGTCTTGGTTTTATGAACAAATCCCCTCATTATCTGTGTAAACCTTAAGAGTAATTTTTTGTACCATTTTCTTTCAAAGATGTGTGTGTGTGTGTGTGTGTGGACCACAACAAGCAGGCTGCCAAGGCTTACCTAGTGAGCTTTCCAAAGCTTCCTTTGAATTGTGGGTTAGAACTGATGGAGAAAAAAAGTTTGAGAAGGACAGGAAGAGGAATGTGAGTTACTGGAGTAGGTAGACAAGGAGATGGATTGGCTCATAAATCCATGGGAAAGGAGGCTTTGCTATTTCTGTTAGTTATATAGCAGTTTCTTTGAGTCTTTTATTTGCTGGTAAGATAATTAGCATTGGAAACATTTGGTACTTTAGCATGAAGCTGTTCATTTTATGAACCAATATTAACAAAACATTTCTAAAATACTGTCTGATTTACCTTTGTTAGCAAAGCTTGCTGAAGAATGAGCAAAATCAAGAAGAAATGATACTTCACTTCCTTCTGGATCTCACTAGTCAGTGTGGTGTCTCATTTCCCTGTACTCCAAGCGGGACGTCTTTTGAGTTAACATCTTCCCTTCATGCCATTGAGGATGACTCAACTATGGATGTGAAATCTCTCTGGGATGATGTGAGGTTGCATCTTCGACGCTTTTTAGTAAATAGACTGCAGAGTCAAAAAGAAGCAAGTACTAATGCTTTACAACAGCAAGTGGAGTTTAAAACCCAGTGTATACAGCAACTATTTTTTCTTTATCCTGAATCAGAAGTTTTAACGAAGTATCAAAGTATGCAGAATAAATTTGTTAGCGATCTTCTGCAGAACTGTGTTTTGTCTAGTTGTGGTGAAACAAATTTTGATAAGGTGGTTCATGGTTACCAAAGCTCAGTACCCACATTGTGCTCAATGATAAAAGAAGATTTGTATGTACTAAGTGGAACTATTGATCCTTCTTCATCATTGAAGTTTATTAATGAAACTTACCTGGACACCATCACCGAAGAAATTACAGTTCTTCTTGAAAGGCTTTGTGAGCTGCAGTTCAAAGAAAATGCTCTACATATGGTTAAGTCAAACAAGACTTCGAAGAAGCACAGAGGAACAGTTCATGCTGTGGGTTAGTAGCCTTATTTTATGTTCAGTTTAGTTAGATATTATTTTAATTATGCTAACTTTTTTTTTTTTCTTTTCAATATACTTGATTATGAAGAGAGAGGCCTGAGATTATTAATTACAGCTTTATGTTTTAACCGTATTACTGCAGTTGAATTACAAACTCTCAGAATTGTGATGAAAAAGATTTATAATAAGGGAGAGTATCTTATGCTTATGCGTATAGAAACCCCATCATAATTCACTGGATAACATTGTCATGTCATAGTCTTTTTTTCAGTTTAACTTACTCCAAATGCTGAAATTACGTTAGAATAGGAACTGTTTAATCCAGATTTAAAAACCCACAAACTCTTAATTCTTTTACCCCCACTTCTTCAAATTGTCAGAAGTTTAAAGAAGATTATAGGGAAGTCCATACAATAATGTGACCATGATATAGACACATGTTCATCCATCAGAGCTGACCCAAAAGATTACTTATCAGATGCTAATTCAACAAACAAAACACTTTGGTTCCTTAGTCTTGTGAAAGTACGGTAAGTTAGTTAATACTACCTGGTCATTTCTTATTGTTCTAAGGAATTTAAGTCAGGAAAGGTATTTGTTATTGAGGTGGTATTTTCTGTGCTTTCTTTTTACAGTTGGTTAGTCTGACGTACTGATTTCCAAAGGGAGGAATCAGAGCTTTAGGAAAATATCATACAGAATGGAAACGTTCATAACATAATTGCATGATTGTATGTAATTGCTTTGTCATTGCAGAGTTTTGAGCACTCCTCTGTGCCAGAGCTGTTTGTTTAAAACATAGCCTTCCACAGAGGTGAAAAGTAGTTTGCAGACAGAAAATATGAAAAGTTTAGAATCATGAAAAATACAGAAACAGAAGATGGATTTTTGGGTCGTACAACTTGCACAAAGGATGAGTGAGGTGATGATCTGCCAGGTCTACACAGATGAAAATTATACTCTTGTGAGTTTTAGAATCAATATACATGTTAATGTAAGTCAACTAGAAATTCCACTGGAAGAAATGCAGAAATAATTTTTCAACAGGAGCTGAAATATGGAGGAATATGTGGAACATATGAAAGATAAGGTAAGGGAAAAGGCACGCAGACAAATAATGTGAGAGTATGAGAAGTTCAAAATAAAGCTGATATATTAGTGGGGTGGAGTGTTGGTGGGAAACAAGAAGTAATGTCAGAGTAATGTTGACTTATGAAATGACAAGAAATATATCTGAGTTACATAGTGAGATGGGAGTCAGTGAAAGGATTCACTGATGGAAGATGACTGGTAGGGAACTAGAAATTTGTAACTTAATTTTCCTTTCAATCTCAAAATATCTCACAAAGATGGGGAAGTTCAGTCAACTCCATTTGACATCTAAGACGTGGAGATTGAAGTGACTCTCTAAAATCCCACCTTAACTGTTCTGTTATCAGGAGAAGGAAGGGAATGGTCCTTCAGTCTATTAAGATAGTAATTCCTCTGCTTAAATTTTCTTTGCCACAAGACATGTCTTTAGGTATTTTTGTGCCAGCACATCTATCAGGACAGATTTGCAGTGCACAGTTCTACTGTATATTCTAAAGAACAGAGGAAGATGAAAATACACAAAGTAAGAATTTGTATCTGCTTGCAAATCCCCAAACATTTAGTGCAATTCATCTTTGGGGGGAAAAAAAAAAAAAAAATTAAAATTCTGTATTTCGTGAATCCCACAGAAGACTTTTATTTTTATTCAAAATATATTCAAGGTTAGATTTGCAGGCACAGCAGCTGTCCCCTTAGCACTCATAAAATGTGTTTAGAAGTGGTGCTTGTTAATCTCATTTAATCCTCAGAATTACTTTCTTCACAGTGGCTGTCGTGCTCATGTCTTCATCTCTTCACTGTACAGCACTTCATATTATTTTACTTCAAGAGGTTGGTATGGGAGGCAAGCATTGATTTGCCTGCAGTCTCTCTTGCTAGTTTTCTGCAGAATCAGACTGTTCTAGACGATCTGTGGTTATAGACTGCAGGCAGCCAAACAGTAAAGTGACAACAGTGAAGTCAGCAGGCTAAAGCAAAATAGGGACTCAGCGTTTCGAAGTTACATAGGATTTTTTTTTTTTTTTTTCATTTTGCAAACATGTCATAGCCTATTATTTGGTATTATTAATCAACTCAAGCAAAATTTATACTTGTATCGTTACCAAAACCATCATTATGGAATAGTTTGTTGTATTTGAGCTCATACGTAAAGAGTCTTTTCTGGAAAGAGACTTCTGTCTTCTAAATATTTGAATATACCACATTTGTACCACACTCAGTCAGAAAAAGTCACTTTTCCTTTGAAATGAAAGTGTTCACAAAGCAGCTCACACTGAAATAACCACTCTGGAAAAGATTCTACAGAATAGCTATTTCGGGAGGTTTATAATGGTAGGCAAGTTCTTAGTGTCAAGTGGCTTTTCCTGCTTGGAACTTACATTAAATTCTGATACCTCTGCTGCCCTCCCACAGCTGAGAGTGGAAGTCTGTATTTATACATATCTTAAGTTAAAAGACAGCTTTAATTGGTAGCCTTGACAGTGATACCCAGTTTGCTGAGTATCAAAAAAACCCCATGCTGGAGTACAGAGGGAAAGGGAGAAGAAGAAGGAGATTTTTTTTTTTTCCTTAGCTGAAACACAGTTATACCAATGTGTTTCTTATTTTTCGGTGTCTGTTGCCTCTGCCCTCTGGGAACCCCCAAACCACCACCAAACCGCCACGTTTCATAATAGCAAAATAATTTAATCTAGGGCATTCAATTGGGATTGTTATCCCAGAGGTGAAAAAAAGTGTTTGCTTAGTCCACCCACAGGGAAATGTGAGTTTTGGTTTGCTTGTTTGTTGGTTCTGTTTGTTTGGTTTTGTTGCTTTTATTTTGTAAGAACTGCTGTAATCGATCCTACTAAATAGGAGAGGAAAAAAAATCACAGAAAATAATGAAACAATGCTAGAACCTCAGGAAACTTTACATAGATGACCTACTTCTGTCAGGAAAATATAGATAGTCTATAACAAGCTTTAACAGAGTTATAAATCTTTAAAATATTTCGTATGTAACAATCTATTTGTGAAGTAAGGAATTAACATTTTTGTTTTCGTACTGTATTAGAACAGTTATTTGTCAAGTACTGTAATGAAATTGTATCCGCTTGTCGGGATCGGGGACGAGCATGGTTTGAGAGAGAAGGTGGCAAAATGGTGTGTGAAAAGAGGCAAATTCTTTGGAACTTGGCATCTCTGATTGCCAGCTCTAGTGGAGGCAGGTGGTTTTATGTTATAACTTGATCCAGACAGCTGGTTTTCAGTTTATCTCTTATGATTTTTTGCTTCGATTTCCAGTGTGGTATTTCTCAGAAATTATTTGCAGTAAGTCTATTAAATGTGGATTGTCCCTATACCTTTTGAACGTTTTTCGTGTTCCTTTGTTTACAGAAATGTTAAGCTAGTTTAATCGGGCATTACTAGCCTATCTTAATCCTTCATCTCTTTTAGATGAAGAAACGGCTACTCATACAAGTGATAAGACATCAGCCAAAGAAACTTAAAAGCCATGAAATTATACACATTTTATGTATCGGTGAAAGGTTTTATTTGGCTTTATTGATATAATTTTAGAGAGAGAGCGCAAGCATGTAAAGACATGTGTAGACTAATTGGCCTATTTTTTAATTTCCTGTGGTTAAAACTAAATAGAGATTAGAGCTTTGAGTTTTGTTTTTTGTGACATATTCAAATTCATTGGCTTAATATTTTCATTTAGTCAGAAACTTGCCAGAGACCCTTAAATAGGTTCTCAAATCCAATGGCATTTGCCAATAAAATATATTTTTAGTATCTTTATGTAATTAATAATTTAAAAAATCTTAAATTTGTTTTTAAAATCCGAGGCAATAGTGTGTTCATCAAAATCAGTAGTTGATTATTTTTAGGAAAAGATTATTGCAAAGTGAATGTAAACCGCAGTGATGCAGATTTGATTAAGTACATTTTTAGCTACAAAGTAATTAAATCACCTTCACTGATGTATTTTAATATTAACATTTCACGCTTTTACCCCAGTATACCATCCTCTTACTTACATGTCCAGAAGGCTTCCTTTCTCTTTTCTTTCTCCAGAAAATGACCAACTTCCATTCTATTCTAAAGATACATTCAAATGCAAACTGAGATTTAAATTATGATACTTTTAATTTATTATCTGTAAACATTCATGGGTTCCTAAGAAAGATATTGTGTTCATGGAACACCTAATGTGGATATGGCATATATCTAAACTTGAATAGAAGGGCTTAGTACTTCGAGGAGCTGCATTTGTGCAGCGGAGTTGAGGGCAAGAAGAAAAACAGGCTTTGGAGTAACTTGCTGAAATGAAGGTAACTTTTGGACATTAAATGAAAGTACTCGGTAAGGAAAATCTATTTTGAGGTTGTATTCCCACCAATTTGCTGTCCAGCTAACTTGAAATACGAGTTTTGGTTTTTGCACATTTGACTTAAATTTGATTTCTCCTCTACATTCATGTGCACATGGCTTTATTTCCCCTAGTTTATAATTTCCTCCCTTTGAAATGAAGAACCTTAGTTTCAGACTTGCTTTTATCCTTCCATTTAATTTAAATTCAGTCAGTTTGTGATCTCTTGAGCCACGATTATTGCCTGCAACCAATCTTCTATGATCTTCATCTTATCTATCAAAAATATGCTTAAAATAGCATTGATACCTGCTGGTTTAGTGACTGCGTGATGAAAAAAACAGTTATTCATGTCTGGGAATAATTAGGACTCAATAACTTTAGTATAATTTATTCTCCCATTTATACCTGGAAATTAAAGAATTCCAGGCTTGGTTTCATGTAATTAATATTTATGTCTTTGCACCTTTTTTGAGATTTCTGTCCAGATTGCAATCTGTAGCAGATAATTTGCAATATTTATGTTGTAGTTACAATTGCTCTTCCAT